CAGTAATAAAGTTATGTAAGGTATTTTCTAATCTCCAAATGCCAACTCCTTTGTCTTATTTCTTGATTGAACTCTGGGCACAAAATCGTGGTGCTGGTTTTTAGGCTCCTAAAAAATCCATGACAAAATACCTGGATGGGCAGTCCCCCAGTCAAGGATGCCTATTAGAGGAGTCTCATTCTATCAACCCAGCTCTACTCTGTCATTTGCTGCAAGCAGTCCAGGGAAAGTGTGGCCTTGGTATAAACAGTGGATCCGAAGGTGTGAGAGCTAGGACTGTCAGTCAGTTGTCCTTCCCCAGTAGGTTCCCTTTTCATTCTTTATCTCAACTGTTTTCATAACTCCATGAGAGTGTGTGTGTGTGTCTTTATGAAATTAAGGTAAATATACAAATTTTTCTACAAGGACTTGCCACACAGGTAACATTATACATGTGTAATTCATTACATATATTATATGTGAGAATTTGATGCACTTAACATTTACATACAAACTCTTAGAGACGGATTAGGCCATATCAAGTCATATATTTTGGAAAAAAATCTCCCATGTACACACAGAGAGATGTAGATTCAATTCTTGATATGGCCATTTGCCAACTTTACATAGAATTTATATGAGGAATAAAAGAGATAAGTATGAATGTTTTGTATTAGCAGGCACTAACCATGTTAATTATTATTATGGCATATTTATCATTATATCAGACCAACCTATTTCAGGTGTCTAACATGCCCTAAATGTGTTTAGATATAACAAATTAAAAACCAAAATAACTAAGGGGGATAGATATGATAAAAGCTTGGTACAATCATTAAAATAAATATAAGTGGGTGCCACAAACTCATGTTTATATATTGCAGCATCTAGCCATCTCAAGAACTATCAGCCCTACAAAGTGGACCCTAGAAGAAAATAAGCCTGAGCCTCCAGACCTAGGAATAGAAACAAAGAAAGTTAATCCAAAAATAAATAAAATAGGTGGTACAGTAAGAATTCTAGTACGGACTGAAAACCCCAACCTCAATGCTAAGTGATGTCTTTATTATTCTATAGGGAGTTGTGGAGTCTTCTTCCTTCATCTTGACCTTCAGCCATTTAGTTGCTCTTTTTACACTGCTAAGACTTTGTAGAAGGAATTCCAGGAAGTTTCTTAAAACAAGTTAGTACAAGTCTTTCATTCCACAATTAGAATTAAGCTTTTAGATGCAGATGGTGTAAAAACACATTCAAATTCCCATTAAAAGGTACACAACTGATATTGGGCAGAGTGGTGTTGCCTGGGTAAGGAGTGAAGATGTTGGGGGTGTGGGGATAGTGTGGGAGGGAAGTATGTATACTTGAGAAAAGTGAGTTCCTAAAGATGGAAAAAGAGTGAAATCAGGAAGTGGGGACTAGGTGAAGAGATATTTGTACACCCATGTTCGTAGCAGCATTACTCTCAATAGCCAACAGGTAAAAGCACCTCAACAGACGATGGGTAAACAAAATATGATATATACATACAATGGAATAGCATTCAGTCTTTAAAGGACAAAAATTCTGACATAGTCTACAATATCAAGGAACCTTGAAGACATTATTCTAAGTAAAATAAGCCAGTTACAAAAAGACAAATACAGTATGATTCCACTTATACAAGCTACCTAAAGTAGTTGAATTTATAGACAGAAAAGTTGCCAGGGACTGGGAGGAGGAAGGAATTGTTTAATGTTTAACAGAGTTTCAGTTTTGCAAGATAAAAAGAGTTCTGTGAATGCATAGAAGTGATGGTTGCACAACAATGTGAATGGTAAATTTTATGTCATTTGGATTTTATCACAATTAAAAATGTGTATTATATTTTTAACCTGACTGGTATTGCTCAGTGGTTGAGCATCAACCTATGAACCAAGAGATCATGGTTCAATTCCAGGTCAGGGCACACCCCCAGGTTTCAGGCTCGATCCCCAGTAGGAGGCATGCAGGAGGCAGCCAATCAATGATTCTCTCATGATTGATGTTTCTATCTCTCTCTCCCTCTCACTTTCTCTGTCTGAAATCAATAAAAACATATTTTTTAAAAAAGAATTACATTTTTTAAAAAAGATAAGGGAAAAAACTTTATTACTTTATGACTTTGCCTAGGTTTATTCCAATTTCTGCTACCAAAGGTTAGAAGGGAACTTTTTAATTAACTATAAACTACTATTAACTATTCAGAACTGCAAATTGAGCAAAAAATAATGCTAGATCAGTTGAGATTGAAGGAAAATGTCATTAAAGTTGCATTATTGTATTATGAGTTAAATTGAGAAGAGAGTCCATGTTTTACTATTCAATGCATTCTTTTTTATATACTTTTTAAAAAAATTAATTTCAGAGAGGAAGAAGAAGAGATAAAATCATCAATTGGCTCCTCCTGCACGCCTCCCTACTTGGGGATCAAGCTCAAAACCCAGACGTGTGCTGTGACCGGGAATCGAACCATGACCTCCTGGTTCAAGTGTCGATGCTCAACCTCTGATCCATATCAGCCAGACTATTTTTTTACATTCTTTTTTTTTAATGTATTTTTATTGATTTTAGAGAGGGAGAGGAAGAGAGAAACATCAATGAAGAGAGGGAATCAATGATTGGCTGCCTCCTGCACATTGGACTGAGCCCGCAACCCAGGTATGTGCCCTTGACCAGAATCGAACCTGGGACCCTTTGGTCCACAGGTCAGTGCTCTATCCACTGAGCCAAACCAGCTAGGGCTTTTTGACATTCTTAAAAATGATTAAAGCCACATCCATTTATTGCCTTAAACATAGAAAATGCTTAAATTGAAGCACAAGTTTGATTTAATATGTCGATGACAGTGTCCTTTGAAGACAATAGTCAAATAGTAACTTTTATGGAAGCAAAATGATTAGAAGAAACAAAAAGCCAAGCACAAAAGTCTCACTGAGTGGCTGATGGTAGAGCTGGTAGGTTTTAAATTCAGAGAACTCACCTTACAATACAATTGATGCATGGTATGAAAATAAAATCACCAAGGAAAGTATTAACCCTCATAAATGTTCAAGAGGTACAAAGTTCTAGACACTGGTAATGTGAGGTAAACCACTAATACTCATAGCCAACTGGGATTCACCTAATGAGATTAAAATGATATAGAGAGAGGACAGAAATGACATCCTGAAATGTTCATTGAACACAAGCAGGACATAATTGACAAATGTAAGCATTCAAGAGGCTACAATAGAGTAAGAAAGAGAGAAAATCCATGTTTGGATTAAGAAGGCCTTCTTCCTTGAGGTTTCTTTATGTGGATTTATTATTTTCCTCTCTTACCTTGTAGTAGTTAGATTTCAATGCTAAGTTTACATTTAACATGTGACAAAAATATAAATTCCTGATTTATAGGAAGATAAAAATAACTGTATAGAGAAAGCAAAGATGGGGGGGTGGGCGGGCAGAATGAGAGTCTGTCTCTGACCCCAAGGCATTCATGCCTGGATATAACTTTTCCATTTAATGATAATCTTCAACAGTTATTGGGATCTCTGCCTGCTTTCATTTTCTTTTCCTCTGGCAAACTTCCATTTGCTCTGGCTTTTGCAATAGTAAAAAATAAGTAAATTTGACTCAACAAAACCAAGTATTATTTTACAAATAACAAACTGAAAAATCAACCTAAGGTTTGGCTTGTTGTTTTTGAAACCAATGCTAATTTTAAGCAACAATGCAGATAACCCCTTGAGCTTTACATGAGCTCATAGTAGCAAAATCATTTCTAAATAAGTTTAAATGTTTTCCAGAGCAAGAAGAAACTCTTTAAACTCCTGACTCTCTTGGCACATTCCACACACCCACCTAATGTTCTTGTTATCCAAATGAGAACAGAGCTGAAAGTAAACTCACTCCGAGGCAAAATTAAAAGGTGAGATATTTGGCTCTTGATTTTGTGTTGAAATGACTATAACATCTTAGAACTTGACTTGGGGTCCACAGATGAGGTCTTCAGAGATACATTTAATAATTCTCATAAATATCTTACTCTTACTTTATCAATCATATAGAACAGTTAACTTTTTTTTGAGCAAAACAAGAGAATAATAATGAACATAAAAAACAGAGGGGACAGGAAGCAGAGGGGAAAGGTTTAAGAATCAATAAGCCACCCCCATGCTGCGATAAACAACTGATACCTTCAAGCAATCAGCAGCTGAAGCAATTTGAATAGTAAGAGCTTTTGACTCAGCAAAGAGCTACATTGAAAACCTTCCATATTGGTGGAAAACGTGAGACACATGGACCAGCTGAGAGTCCTGGACCTTCTTTCAAATGCCTGCTGTCACCAGTCCTTAGGAAACAGAAGTAACACAAGAGCTGAGAGACAGTTCAACCACGTACCATCATGATTTAAATGGACTGCACCTTACAAGGGAACCTGCTCTGGGCTCATAGCAACCAAAAATCATAGAATGAAGGTTCAATAGAAAAAGGAAGCCTGAGGCCCTACATACACATCCCCATCAGGGAAGGACACTGGATCCAGAGAGTTAAGAGATCCGTTCTAAGAACCCATCTCATCATATGAACAAGATATTAAGCTTCATTTCTCTTCAATTTAATTCAACTTTATCCACACACACAAAATTACGATTCTATAAACATGCAAATCTTCCCTATGTTCTCCATAAAACTATTTTTGCCTCAGTCTTGAATATAGCTATATTTACATGCCCTCCAAAATGCAAAATCTAAGGCACTATAAAGGTTCTCCTGTGGCCCCCAGCAAACAATAAGAACACTTGAAAATACAAAGAATCATAGAAAAATAAAGATCACATTTCACAGACACTAGCTTTTTCACCACAGAGACAACTATTTACTTCAACAAATATTGGGTCTTTTATAAGGCAGTGTCAATTTTATTGCTTTTGAAATAATGTGTAAAGTGTGAAACTTTACAATTTGCACATAAGCAATTTCCAACTTTAAGTTTAAATATGTGATGAGAAGTACATGCATACGAATATAAATCTTTTAATCGCCATCATTTACATTAGAAATTTCTTTATACAAACATCTCAACTTTTTCTTTAAAAAAAAAATTAGCAACTGGTAAGAACCCTCTGAGACTGCAGAAAATCCAGCTTTCCATTTCAGCAGGCTTTCACTGAGAGATGTGAGTGATGGCAGATGAAGGCCTCTTGAGAATAGACTCAACAGAAAATGACAGCGGTTCATTCACAGAGAGTTTTGTTCCAACTTGTTTGGCTACAAAAAGGTCTTCTGCGCATCTATCTATTGTAAATGTGTACTTCTGGTTCTCCTTGGCTAAACACTCTCTGTGTTTCTTAGGGGCCTCTTCAAAGGCCTCTTTGACAAATGGTGTTTTCAACTCAGGACCCGATTTGTCATTAAGAGTTTGCTGGAATAATGAGTGGAACGGATTATGTTTAAGTGGCAGAGGGTGCCTGGTGCTTTCTTTGCTGATCTTGGTTAAGATGTGCCCTTGAGCTGCCAGGGAGTCCGTGTCAACAACTGGAGAGAAATTCCGTCGGGGTGGGGAGAACGCAGACCTCTCAGGGACAGCCTGGTGACCCTGAAGGTCACTTCTTGAGGTCTGGACCTCGGGAGTGTGAGGCAGCACCAGAGAGCCTTCCAATTTGGGTGGCATCACGTCGTGTTCGGCACTGAGTCCATCCTGTACTTGTACTCCCTTCAAGTCCCAGCTGGCCCCAGATTTCAGGGCTTGAACTGAGGTGGTGGTGTTTAGCAGGCATTGCTGGTAAAGGAGAGTGTCACTAATGGGGCCACACTTGGGCCAAACTAAAAATCTTGAGGACAAAGGATACTGTCTGTAAGTCGTGGCCACACTGACATTTGAAGAAATTAGTTCCATATTCCCAGACCCTGAATACTGCATGGTTAGATCAAGACAGGTGGGCAAAAAATTACAGAAGTCTTTGCTTGGTGGTTCCACCGGGGTAGGGCTGTAGGCACTTTTGTAGTTGTATTCAGGTCCATGCACCATGCGGTTGGGCAGGAACAAGGCAGCAGCTTGGGAAGCTTCCAACATCTCCCTCTCTTTATATTCTCTCTCCAGCATAATGTTCTCCAACTCTTTATCAGCAAAGGCCCGCCTTTTCCTCATCCGGTCACTTACTGGGGGAGGTAGAGGTAAGCTCCCTCCCACATAAGTCTCTGCTGGTATGGGGCGGTAGCCTAGAATAAGCAAGCATTGCACATGAAAGAGATTAACATCTAGAAAAGAAAAATCTGGAAACCCAGAAGGCAACAGAAACACTGCAAATTGGCAGAACAAGTGTTTACAGTTCTGTATCACTAACATTTCTATATAGAAAGCGAAAGTACTGGTTCAACTTTAAATTGTTCCCTTTGGGGAAAGAATATGTGTGTTGTAAAACTTTTTGTTATTGTTTTTGTAGATATAAGTGTGTTTGTTTATTTTGACAAGTGTACTTTACTGGCTGAAATTTTAATATTCTTCCCAGGCTCCTACATATTAAGAGACAAGGCTGCTGATCTTATTTCAATCAATGATTTACTACTATCCATATCATCTCATTCCATTATTTAAAAAAGATATCTATACCTAGAGCTGATGTCACTTTTAGTTTCTAAAGATGGCTCATTATGTACATTGTAACAGTTGGAGAATAATCCAAGGAGAACTAGGAAAAAAGAGAAAGTTAGAGAGATTAGTGAGGAGAAAAACAGAAAAGACATAAGGAAACAGGGAAACACAGAAAACTAAAAAGAGCTGTTAACTAGTCAGATTCTTCAGTGAACTTTGAACCAGGCCGCTGACTACTATACTAGTACAAACAAGCAAACAAAAGTGGGGCCAGGCATTGAGATGCCCTGCTATATTGAAAATAACTAACACGTCGTTTTTCCCAAGCACTCATCCTGTTGGCCAGATCCCCACATGGTAGAACATGCAATCATTAGAACATAGATGAAGTCATCGCACACTTTATGAAGTCAAAAACAAAAATCAGTATAACAACATAAATAGAATTCCTGGTAGCATAAAATGCTTTCATCATCCCCAAGTACTGGCCACTATCAAATTTGTTTGAAGGATCCATTGTAATGTTTGTGTTTACATAGTGACAAACCCACCGTACTCATTTGCAAATAAAATAAAATGTGAAAATCAATGTTTCCTTTTCTATAGTAAGTTTTTTGCCAGGAAGTTATTTACTTAAATTTACTATTCCACTTCATCCTCCCACTTCTCAAATTGCATTGACACAATTTCAGTGTATTAGTGTGGTCACTATGGTTATAAAATTTGTTTAGCTAGTTTGTAATCAAATTCACTTTTAATGCACCAGAAACTATTCTAAGGTCAGAAGTACACAGCACAGGGTAAAACATAAACAAAGTTTAAAGCCTGTCCAGAACAAACTCAATTCAGAAGCCACATAAGAAAAAACAAAATTCAAATGTCTACTTTAAAAAAAAATCTGCTTTTCAACCTGAATCTTGATGTGACAATAATTAGAGCAAATATAAACTTTTCCTTAAACGGTGAAAGGTAGTCAGTATATTATTTATCAGATCAATAAATAAATTCCAGACCCAAATAGAGATGCTTTGAAAAATCAGTAATATTTTAAGAAAAATTAATGTATCCCCAGGCTTTAGAGAAAGTGAAAATATGGAGTTAGAAATTTCACACTGTTCAAATTCAATCTCAACTTCACTTGTTTCATTCTACAATCTCACCTATCAAAATAATAAGCTGTGGAATAACCACAATTACAGGTAAGTCAGGAGGGAAATGGCAAAATGAAAAAGAGTGGAATCAGAGGTTGGATCACCCAGACTAGAAGTCTTCATTAGTGTGGGTACTGTTAAACTCCTTATTTGACATACTCTATTCAGCTCCAACAACAAAACAATTTTTTTAAATTTATTTCCTTTCAGGACATCTGCCCTGGATCATGTAGCTGTGTATCTATGCACACCATTCACACACTAGGGCAAATTTCACATGCACTCCATCTTAACCCAATAAAATTATCAGTGACAAAAACAACAGGAGGTGTGTGAGATTCATTTTCTCACATCCTGATTTCCTTCCTCCAACAAAACATTCTAATAAAAGGTATGTCCCCCTCGGATTACTCCTTCAGAGGTTACCAAAAATACCATAAGGCCAGAATGATGAGAATCACTCAGAACCTGCTTTTAAAGGCTAAAGGAATGACTTTGCGTTGCTTTACCTTCTAAAATACTTTTGGCCAGCAGACTGGGTGCCCTCACTTGCCTCTGATACACAGCTTTGCGCTCGAAATTATTCTGTTTCCCAGAAAGCCCCTTCTTGTCCTGTAAACACAAGAAACATAATCATTAATTCCCTGAAGAGAAAAGAGAAGGAAAGGGGTGTCAGCAACTCTCCCCGACCTAAATGTATTTAATTTTCCTAATCCCTGTGAAAATGATTCCAAACTTATTAGCACACCATAATCCCAGGGCAACGGAGCTAGCTCTGTCCGAAGCCACCCACTGGGGACGTGGGTCCCGGCTTCCTCCGGGGCTGCTTTGCTAGGGTCCTCCCAGTCACACCCAGCAGCCAGAGTGGGGGGACGCCTGGAGGAAGGAAATCCGGTGGAGCAGACGGTGGGAGCCCAGCCTGAAACAGCACCGGGTCCCCTGCGGCCAGAGGTGGGGCTGAAGGTGCCCAAGACCTGCCACTGGGCAGTGACTTGGGCTGGTTTCTGCTCAGCAGCACGGATGGGCCGGGTACGCGGTGCAGGGAGAGAGATGAGGGTCGTATCTCTCAGGCTCCCCGGTCTGGCCGAACACTCCAGATTGCTCACGGGGCGTCTGGGACTCAGTAAGGCGAACAAAACCCTCGGAGGCCGAGAGGGACGCAGCACAAGACCTAGCTGCCGCCGTCCCCGCCTGGTGGGTAGGCTTCCGGACCCTGTGACACCTCCGTCCAGCCCAGCAGGCCAGGCCTCGGGGAGCGAAGACACTCAGGGCCCCGGTGAAACTCACCGGACGCGGGAGGAGGCCGAGTCCAACCCAGAGCAGGGCCACCTCGGGCGTCCAGCGCCCTTGGGAAGCTGCTTTCCATGAGGGTCCCTATTTTCCACTCCCTAGCCAATCCTCGCCAAAAAGTAAAATTAAAAAAAACAACAAAAAAAAAAACCACTCTCGCCCTAGCCGGTTTGGCTCAGTGGACACAACATGGGCTTGCGGACTGAAGGGTCCTGGGTTGGATTCCCGTCAAGGGCACCTACTGTGGTTGCAGGCTCCCGGCCATGGTCCGGGCCAGGGCAGGAAGCAACCACCAATCCATGTTGTCTCTCTCACATCGATGTTTCTCTCTGTCTCTCCGTCCCCCTTCCAATCTCTCTAAAATTCAATAGAAAAAAATATCCTTGGATGAGGATTTAAAAACAAAAACAAAAAGAAAGCCTTCCCCGGCCTTAGCGTGGGAGGGGGCGCTGGAACACGTGGGAACTTCCAGGCGCCTCCACCGGCAGCGCCGCTCTCCCCGCTGCGGGGCCCACGGGGGAGGCCGCAGACACCCCTCCGCCGGCGCTGAGGTAGTTCTCGGGGCTGGAAACTTCCGGCTGCATGGTCTTGAGTCGCGGACACGCAACTTCTGGTCTCGTCTGCACAATGGGCACCACACTCAGCCTTCATTACAGGGCCCGGACGGAGGGCGGAAGCTCCGCGCCATCAGCAGAGTGCATCGCTGAGCGCAGCAAAGGACGCCGGGCACTGCACCAACCCTCCCATCCTCCCATCCTCCTCCCGACACCACCAAAATAAAGTTTAAAATATGAAAAATAAAATGCCTTTCCCGTCATGTCCCGAGTGGGCCTAAGCGCTTCCAGGGCCCCCGACAGCCTCTGTGTTTAGCTCTGTTCAGCCTCACCTGAGGGTAGTTTTTCCCACTGATTTTTAGAGAGTGAAGGGGAGGAAGGAGGGAGAGGGGAAGGGAGGAGAGAGAAAGGAGGGCGAGCGCCTCGGTGGCCTCCCGCAGGCGCCCCGGCCGCGCCAGGGACCTACCCTTGAGCCCGGACTTACACCCTCGAACCTCCGGTGGCGCAGGCCGGCGCTCCGACCAGCGCGCACACCGGCCAGGGCCTGGCTGCGTTTTAACACAAAACCTTTCCACCAAGTTCCCGGGCCATGCCCCGGGCATCCTCCCTCCCGACCCCACCAGCCAGCCGTCGCGGGGAGAGACGTGTTCTCCCACCTTCCGAGGGCCTGCCCCGCGCCCCCAGGTCGCCACGGGCCGGGGGCGTGGGAGCAGCTGCCCCCTCGGGCCCCGCACCTCCCGCGGCGCGGCCCGGGCGCCCGTACGCACCTCGGTGGCTTGCTGCCTCCGGAGCGCCACCTGGGCGGCCATGACGCGCTGCCGCTCCACCACCAGCAGGCAGTTGGCGCACTGGCAGTCCCGCCAGCGGCAGAAGCGCTTGTGGCCCTTGAGGCAGGACACCACGCCGTGGTTGCGGCAGCGCGCGCACTTGGGCGTGCGGCTCAGCTTGCGCGGCTCCGGGCCGCCACCCGCGCTCGCGCCGCGCTCCGGGGGCCCGGCGGGGGCCTGCGAGGCCTGCGGCGCCGGCGACGGCCTGGGCGGGACGCCTCCCTGCGGCTCCGGACGCCCGGACGCCCCTGGGGACGCGCCCGCCTCCTCGCCGTCGCCGTCGCCCTCGTCCTCCACGTCGTCGTCGTCCTCGTCCTCGTCTTCGTCGTCCTCGCCGTCCCCGTCGGCCGGCGGCGGGCTGGGCCCCGGCGGCATCGGCGGCAGCGCCCCGCGCCCGTCCTCCTCCAGCTCCAGGCTCTCCACGTCGATCTCCCAGTCCCCGGCCGCCAGGCCCGCCTGCCGGTCGGCCATGGCGCGCGGCCCACGCTCTGTCGCCTGCACCCTGGGAGACACGAAAGACCCCGAGACCCCCAGGCCGCAGTGAGGCGCCGCCCCCAGGCCTCGGGCCCAGGCCTCCCGGTCGCCCCGCCGGCAGCCCCTTGGGGAGCCCTGCTCCCCACCCGCCCCTGACAGCCTGGCCACACGTGCCTGCCTTGTATCTGTTGGGCCCCCAGGGACACCCCCCCCCCAAGTGGTTCTCAACCTTCTGGCCCTTTAAATACAGTTCCTCATGTTGTGAGCCAACCATGAAATTATTTTCGTTGCTACTTCATAACTGTAATGCTGCTACTGTTATGAATCGTAATGTAAATATCTGATAGGCAGGATGGTCTTGGTCGTTCGACCGCCAAAGGGGTCGCGACCCACAGGTTGAGAACCACTGCCCTAACCCAAGTTTTTACCTATTCCAATAGGAATTATTGTGAGCATCCGACCTTTAACCGCAGCCTCTGTAGCTGTACACGTGCTTTACAAACCACACACACACACACACACACACACACACACACACACGCATTGTGTCCAGCGAGGCCGCTTAGACCCCTTGTAAGACTCTCCCCTTCCCCAACTGGTATGGCCATGATGAATATAAAAAGGTCAATGAAAGAATTACTTCCCTTTTGATCACAAGGGGCCCTTCAGAGAGGTACCGCCCTATGGCCCAAATGTCTCTCATCCCCCTGCATCACCACAAAGACCCCCTTCTTGGGCTTGGAGAGGACTTCTCCTCCCCCATTGCCACGCCTGCTAATAGGTGACTAAACAACCAGGGCTGGGCTGTCCTTACAGCCCCATGGGCCACTGGGCAGGGAGATGCAGACGCCCTTCCAGCATCAGCAGTGCTTGGGCCGTGCTGGGCTGAGCCGTGCGGGCTCTGTGCACCTAGGGCATGGTTTGCACTTTGAAACAAAGCTTTCAAGTAAAACAGAAAAGATGAGGAGAGGTGGTTAGCACCCTTTGCCCTCCCGGACACCCCAGCAACATCACAGCACTCACCAAGACTCTGAGGCCAGGGCTAGCAGCCCAGGCAAAAGAGATCCAACCTTGGGACCTGGCTCTTGAACTGCTGGCTGTGCTTGCAAACAGAAATCGGGGTCGTCACACCCTGCCCCGAAATCGGGGGCTGGCAGCTGGAGGCCCGAGCCCTCCGGATGGGGAGTTGGGTAGAAAGGGGATGGAGAAGGTGAGTCAAGTCCTTACGGCCTCGCCCCACACATCCCGGTCTCTGCAACGATCAGACCGGTTCTCGGCGGTCCGGGCGCTAAGCCTCGCTGAAGCTACTTTCGGCTTCCTCCACCCCAAGCTGGGCGGGAAGGGTCAGGCCGCCCAGGCCTGGCTCAGACCGCGGACTCGCGGGCGGGCGGGCGGGCGGGCGCACCCAGCGACTCGAGGCGCGGCGCTCCCCGCAGCAGTCTCCAGCCTCCGCTCCCTTTCCCAGTATTATCCGTTCCGGCCCCCGAACTTCGCGCCCGCTGATTGGCCAGTTGTCAGGCGGTGTGCACGCTGATTGGCCGAGGCGCGCCGCCCGGAGCTCCCCCGCCTGCCTCGCAGCAGTGCACGCTCCTCCCCGCCCGGCCCCGCCAAAAGACTCCCGTGCGGCCTTCGGTGCAGCGGGGTTGCGGATACCGACGCTATACCCAAAGCATAACGGCGCCTTGCGGGTGAAATCGCCATTTATCTCCCAGGCTAGAAAACAAACAGACACACTATTACGAATAGCGTTGTCCACAAGAGGAAGTTATAGACTTGGCAGAGATAAAAAGGCTGTTGATCTCTACGTTGTCAGCATCACCAGTATTTCTGCGACTCAATCATTAACTCAGACTGGGTGCAAAATGACGCCTCTCTAATCAGGTGCACAGCGCCATCCTACTTTCTTTTGCAAGACTAAATAGTTACCTTGCACCGCCGCGCCGGATCAGCGGACAAATGACCTGTAGATGTTTGTGGCGGGCACCTCTCATCGAAGTGCAAAGCTAACCATGCCTGTGAGACAGGCAGGTCGCCAAATCACCTATGTCACTTAACATTTTTCGGCTATGTCAATTACTATTACAGTTGATTTGAAGGAGAACGGACTTGCCTTTAAGAGATTTACATAAAATATATTACCTCTAAGCATGTTTTTAAACGAAGCTTTTTTAAAAAAATTACTTTTAGTGTGCATGAATTTATAAAGAAAAAAAGACCTCCTGTCTCCCTCAAAATATTCTTGTATAAATGTTTAATAACAGTTAAAATTTACATGTTGAAAGGAACTAGTCTCCTAATTAAATGCTGCATTCTATATCTTGAAGTAAACTTAAAATCACTTAAACGCTTTTCTACTTAACACTTTGAAATAACACCTCTCGGAATCAGTTTAGGAGACAGATTAGGAAAGTGAGTGCCATGACGCTGAGCACATAGTAGGCTGGCAACAATTATTTGGAAGTTAAAGGAAGGAAATTGCCGGGCTGAATCTAACGTGACCTTTCTGGGAGCCGCTCAGGAAGTTAGAAGTTAACAAAGCTCAGAGAGTTTGGAACAAGGCAGCTTAGGAAACACCGTGAAACTAACTCAATCCGCGGGATGCGCAGGTATCCTCCAACCTTTGGCGAGTTTGGAAAGTCCTTCCCGGGCGGCGACCAGGCACTGTGACTTCCCTTCGTGCGGGACTTCTCCCTGGAGTCGCTTAGGACGCCCAGGGAAGGAAGTAGAGACACCGTCCAGTTCATTCCTTTGGGCAGCTCTGTCCCGCTGGCGGCTCGGAGGGTGACTTGGGAGCCGAGCAGGCTCAGACATGGGATAGAGTCAACCGCGCGTGCCTCCTGCTTGGCATCACTTAGTAACACCAGTGGGTTTCACCTTTGGCGTAGCCCCTGATACTTACCAAAGTACGTTTGTTCACCTATGTTAGTTTGGATTCTTGACTGCGGAAGAATTGTTATTTTTTTCTCCGATCTTCCAATGAGGAAACAGGTTTAAAGAGGAGCCCTGGTCCACACAGCGGTCTGCGGGAGGGCAATGGACTGGTGAGCACTTTGGTACCATGTCGACCTCTGCTCTGACGTCTTAGCAAGTTCCTGGAGCCCTTCGCCACCAGCCAGAAAGACTCACCACGGGTTCGCGTTTATTTCATTCCCCCTGCAACCCGAGTACTCATCTTAGTACCTGACATTAGGAGCAGCCCTCCTGTAACAGGACAGGGCACGTTTTTTCAGCTCTTGTGTTGTGTGTGTGTGTGTGTGTGTGTGTGTGCGCGGGTGTGTGTGTGTGTGTGCCTGCTAGTTACATTTCTGTCTTTGAAACCAAGCTCCGCGAAGCGTATGCAATCTACAACCCACCCACCCGTGGCCGGCTGTGTGTACTCCGGTTGGCCAACTGGGCTTTTATTAATTGCTTGGCGGGTGGGGGAAAGCAGGAAATCATTAGCCTTTCACCAGTTATTATGAAGATTAAGGAACAAAATCAAGAAAATAGATTTGTTAATTTGGGGCAACTATAGTGGGGAGAAGGGGGACCGGGAAGGAACAGGAGGAGAAATGGGCTTGAGCAGCTGTTTACTAAAATAAAGCAGACGGGCAGCCCTTTAACTAGTTCCGAATTGTAAAAGCAGCTCTGTACGAGGAAACAAGTGAGATTTGTGTACAGTAAACTACAAGAGCTGGAGCCAGGCAGCACCGGCGGGGAGGAGGGAAAGTGGCTCCCCTCCTTCCCTCGCCCCCCCCCCTCGGTTTCCTCCCAGGCACGTTCCCCAAACCCCTCGCAAAATCCTATGCAACAGTCCCACTGCCTCCAGAATTCCCTGCCCATCTCCCACTGCCCCCCTCTCCCCACTAGTCCTACCCTCCCGGCACCCCATCTTGTGCACTTGGGGGCGTACACCTGTCATCCCGGTACAGTTGAATTACACTCCATTCCTTGGCCCTTACCTCCCCTAGAGAATCACGATCCCAGCCACTGCTGAGAGGTGAAGTCGGGTGGGAGGGGGCGGGAGGTTTGAGATGAAGAACTTCGATATGAAATGAGAAATTATCCGCATTTTCTGGGAAAATTAAAAAGGAATCTAAAGGTGCACAAGCAGGTTAGCAGAGTAAATATTCAGAGACCATGAGTCAGAGAGCCTGGGCTCAAGGCTGGTGGTTGCACTGACGACATGACCTTGGTCGATTAGTTTTGTGGGTCCAGTCGCTCAGGTGCAAAACGGGAAGCGGGGCCTTCCTTGGCCTAGTGGTTGTGAAGGCAGTAATAATGAGGATAGAGAGTCTTCGCATATTATGAGCTCAATCAACATTTATTTATCCCAGAGGCGGCAGCGCGTGCAGTTCCGGGAGGCCCCGCCGCCCGTGCCTAGCTGGCTGAACTGAAAGGCGAGAGCAGGGCAGGGAATCCAGCGCCTTTCTCCAGGTTCCTCTCTTAGAAGAGGTCCGGCCTTGGCTTAAGACCTGTTAGGTGAGGAAACAGAAATGCTTTGGGCTTGTAAACCGACACCAAATTACAAAAAAAAATGCCTTTCGGAGTCCCCTCTTGTAAAGTACAAAGTCGTGGGGCCGCTGTTTACACTGCCGCTGCCTGTACGCTCGGGCGGGGTGGCGAGGGGTTTGCTTTTCTCCTAGCTGGCCGGCGCGGAGGCCCCCCTCTCCCTCTCCCTTTCCCCCAAATCGCTCTCACCCGCACCCCTTCCGGTCCCGCGTGGCTAAGACCCACCCCGGTGCGAAGCCTTGGCAAGTCAAGCGAGGGAACCTGAAAAATAAAGCTGGAAAGGAAGTTTCCCTTCTTCTTCTTGTTCACTTTCTTGATGAGGATGGCTTTCTTTTTTTTACCACAAATACCACTACAAAAAAAAAAAAGTATGTATGTTTCAATTGGCTCCTGCTGACCCATCCAACTCCCTGCTGTGAATCCCAGCAGGCAGGCCCCTGCCACTCCACGTGACCTGGGTTCTGCTTGACCACGCGGTTGGGGTCCGGCTCCAGATCCTGGCCACCTCTGCAGCCTGGCCCAGCCACCTGTCCTGCGATTCATCGAACCCTAGGCCACTGGAGTTGAGCGGCCCTTGGCGGTTCTGGGGGGGGGGGGGGGGGAGTTGGAGTTGAGCGGCCCTTGGCGGTTCTGCGGGGGGGGGGGGGGGGGGGGGGGTAGTTGGAGGGGTGTTTTGGCTCCGCACTGGCAATCCGGTTTGGAGGCCGAGAGCCCGGGTTTCAGATCGGACAGACAGGGGTTAAAATGCCAGATTTGGTGCTTCTCAGCTGGGGTACAGCTAAGAGGATCTTTAACCTCCGTTTGCGATTCACTTTCCTCAGTGGAAATAACCTTAAAGGAGATGACGCTTGTAGACACCCTTGGCACACTGATGGCCCATGCTGAACATTCAATACTTGGGAGCTGTTATTTGTGTTAGTCTTGTTGTCATTCTAACTCGATGAACTGACCTGCAGAGTCTTGAGGCCCTATTACCAGCTTCCGAGGCCCAGGCCTAGGCCTAGAGACAGGCTGGGCGGGGGGGACCCTGCCCTCCACCACTAGCCTGAGTTGCCTGGCTCTCTCTACCTGCTGCCTAAGCTGGTGAATGATTTGGGGAATTTCTGGGCAGCTCCGTAGAAGTGCTTTGCTCTCGCCTGATTATGGTTCTGGTTTCTCAAGAACTGACCTCGAATCCACCTCCTCTCGCGGAAAGCTACTCTTAACATTGTATTGTCTCACAATTTTGACCGGCTGTGGACGCAGCGAAATAAATAATCCCAGATGGGATTGCAGAGATATGATTTCTCAATTTGCTTTGCGTAATGAAATATACGACCTGTCACAAGCAATGGGGGTGGGGGGCGGGTAGCTTGCGAGATATAGCTCTTCTCGAGGCTATTCGAATTCTCTCATTTTCTGCTCTGCGTGTCCAACACAAAAGAAGAGGGGGGGAAATGCTGGAGAAAAGGACAATGCAATCTGGGCTCTCATCTCTCTTCCATGGGAAGCAGGGTTTAAACAACAGGCTTTTAAGATGCGCTTAGTGCGCGCGCGAACCTCGGTTCACAAGTGGGAAGGAAAATTGAGGCTCAGAAGTTCCTGGGATAAATACAAGGTGTCCCCCCAAAAATGTACACACACTTTAAAGCTGATAACTCAATTTTGAAAATGAAATGTATTTTAATAAATACTGCCTTTATAATCATTCAAAGTGTGTGTATACATTTGGGGAGGGACACGGTATAGTGCCTGCATGGGGCCAAATAGGCCATAGTAATTTCAGGGCCCTTCGTGCCTTCATACAATTTTTTTAAGTGCCCTTTGCAGCAGGATCTGGAGTCAGATGCTGGGACTATAAAGCAATCATGCAGGGCTTATGGAAGGATCTGCCAGCCCACCCACCCCACCACCCAG